TCCCCAGGAAAGAAAGCCTGTGAGCTTTGGCTTTCAGGTGCAGTTGGTGGAGCAGCCTGGGCACTCTGTGGGCAGCAAGAGCTTTCTTGTCTGGCACCTTTTGTCTGAGAGGAATCTTCATTTCTCTTCCAGTTTGGGGAGGTGGGACCGGCTTGTGAAGCACACAGCGGAAAAAAGGGAACAGCAGCTCCTTCCCCCAGTACAAAAAGCGTGTAAGGTTTGGCTTTCAGGTGCAGTTGTTGAGGCACCCTGGGCACTTTGTGGGCAGCAAGAGCTTTCTTGAGTGGCACCTTTTGTCTGGAGGAATCTTGGTGGATCTGAAATTTTGGGAGTCGGAATGGCAGTAGCATCACAGGGCTGAAAAAAGGGAAAAACAGCCCTTATCCCCAGGAAAGAAAGTCTCGTATATTTGTATTTCTAATGCAGTTGGTGGGGTAGCTAGAGTACTCTGTGGGCAGGAAGAGCTTTCTTGTCTGGCACCTTTTGTCTGGAGGAATCTTCATTTCTCTTCCATTTTGGGGAGCTGAGACAGGCACTTGAATCACAGGGCGGAAAAAAGGGAAAAGCAGCCCTTATCCCCAGGAAAGAAAGCCTGTGAGCTTTGGCTTTCAGGTGCCGTTGGTGGAGCAGCCTGGGCACTCTGTGGGCAGAAAGAGCTTTTTGAGTGGCACCTTTTGTCTGGAGGAATCTTCATTTCTCTTCCAGTTTGGGGAGGTGGGACCGGTACTTGAAGCGCAGAGCGGAAAAAAAAGGAACAGCAGCTCCTTCCTCCAGTACAAAAAGCGTGTAAGGTATGGCTTTAAGGTGCAGTTGTTCGGGCACCCTGGTTAATCTGTGGGCAGCAAGAGCTTTCTTGTGTGGCACGTTTTGTCTAGGAGGAATCTTGGTCCATATGAAATTTTGAGAGTCGCAATGGCAGTAGCATCAAAGGCCTGAAAAAAGGGAGAAACAGCCCTTATCCCCAGGAAAGAAAGAATCCTATATTTGCATAGCTAATGCAGTTGGTGGGGTAGCCAGAGCACTCTATGGGCAGGAAGAGCTTTCTTGTGTGGCACCTTTTGCCTGAAGGAATCTTCATTTCTCTTCCAATTTGGGGAGGTGGGACAGGCACTTGAAGCGCAGGGCTGAAAAAAGGAAACAGCAGCACTTCTCCCCCAGAAAAGAAAGCCTGTGAGCTTTGGCTTTCTAGTAGAGTTGCTAAGTCAGCCTGGGCACTGTGTGGGCAGGAAGAGCTTTCTTGTCTGGCACCTTTTGTCTGGACGAATCTTCAATTCTCTTCCATTTTGGGCAGGTGAGACAGGCACTTGAAGCGCAGGGCTGAAAAAAGGGAAAAACAGCCCTTATCCCCAGGAAAGAAAGCCTGTGAGCTTTGGCTTTCTAGTAGAGTTGGTAAGTCAGTCTCGGCACTCTGTGGGCAGTAAAAGCTTTCTTGTGTGGCACCTTTTGTCTGGAGGAATCATCACTTTTCTTGCATTTTGGGGAGGAGGGACCGGCACTTGAAGCGCAGAGCGGAAAAAAAGGGAACAGCAGCTCATTCCCCCAGTACAAAAAGCATATGAGCTTTGGCTTTGAGGTGCAGTTGTTGGGGCACCCTGGGCACTCTGTGGACAGTAAGAGCTTTCTTGTCTGGCACCTTTTCTTCTAGGAGGAACTTTGGTGGATCTGAAATTCTGGGAGTCGAAATAGCAGTAGCATCACAGGGCTGAAAAAAGGGAAAACCAGCCCTTATCCCCAGAAAAGAAAGTCTCCTACATTTGTACTTCTAATGCAGTTCTTGGGGTAGTAAGGCACCCTGTGGGCAGGAAGAGCTTTCTTGTCTGGCACCTTTTGTCTGGAGGAATCTTCATTTCTCTTCCTTTTTCGGGGTCTGAGACAGGCACTTGAAGCGCAAGGCTGAAAAAAGGAATAAACAGCCGTAATCCCCCAGGAAAGAAAGCCTGTGAGCTTTGGCTTTTTAGTAGAGTTGGTAAGTCAGCCTGGGCACTCTGTGGGCAGCA